GTTCTATCCTTTTGCCTGCAGGTCAGTTGTAATAAAACTAAGATGCGACTGTGACCTTGTTATTTTCATTGTGTAAGGTCAGAGCTGACCGGGAAGGTTCACCAAGAGCAGGAATACTTGTCTTCCAGGCCCTGCCTCCAGGTGGAGGAGGAAAGCAGCCTTGGAACCTGCTTGTGCTGAATCAGCCTATGGAGCCCTGGGGGTGTTTGCTCTCTCTGGAAGACTGCTGAGCCCTCTGTGTGGTTCAGGTGCCTCTCAGGTGAGCACTGCTGGCTCCACAGGGAGGCTCTGGTGGCTCAGGACACCCCATCCCTGCCAGCAGGGCAGGTGGCCATGCCCATGCTCAGGGGAAGGGCAGGTGCTGCTTCCAACCTTGCAGGCTGCTGTAGTTCTGCAAGAGCAGCCAAGGTCTGCAAAGCCCAGATGATCTCAGAGTCCTGGGTGATTCATGCCTGGTGTTGGGATAAGTTTCTCTCCCATCTGGAAGCCTCTGAGGGCTTGGAGTTTGCCCAGTCAAGTGGGCAGAACTGGACCCCAGTAGGGGAGAAGGGCTGGCCATGAGTGCCTGTACTGTTCCAGGTGGCTGGAGACAGTCCCAGGAGTGTCCAGCTTGGAGAGGGGAGAGCCAGAGGGATGTAAGGATCATTGGTCATGGCCATGCCTCAATTCCCTCTGCATCCCTGAGAAAAATGTTTCCTTTAGTGTGTGACAATTGAGGCAGTTCTGTGCCTTGGCCAGACAAGAGTGCAACTTGCTGGGTGGAGGTGGAGGCAGCTGACACCGTGGCAATCCAGATTATGTTCAATCAGATTATTTTAAGAAGGGTAAGATCCTGCCTGAGCTTCCAAGGAAAACAAGTTTCTCACCAGCTTCAGAATGGACGGAGAACCCACCGATTCTAGGTGATCTGTCGTGAGAAGCTGCTGCAGGTTTCTGGAAAGAGCTTCATCATGAGACCCACCAGGCACTGACAGAACTGGTGCATGAGAGTTTGTGAGCATCCCCATGTGAGGAAGCTGCAGACCACAATGAGGTCACCTCAGCCTCCTCCTCTCCAGGCTGAGCAGCCTCATGTCCCTCAGCTGCTCCTCATGTAGCTTCCCCTCCAGACCCTTCATGCTGGGATGTTGTAGCTCAACCCTGTGCACAGTGAAGGCCACAGCCATTCTCCTGCTCCCCTGCACCAGGATCCTGTTCCTCCTTCTCCCTCTGCCCCTGAGTTTGAGCTGGAAAAGCAGGAGGCAACTACATAAGGAAGGAAGACAGAATTCAGATTCTGAGATTGCACTTCACAGGGATTTCCTGAAAACATTTGAACCTGAGCCCAATTTCAAGAGGTCAGTGGAAACCACCTTGAAGTCTGGCCAATTCCTGCATCCTGAAGAAATGTCAGTGCAGCTGAAGCCACTTTTTTTTGATGGGATCGCAACATGTGACCTGGAAGTAGAGACATTGCCAGTGAGGGAACCTGAGCCACTTGGTAGGGTGCTGACCAAGGCTGGCACCAGGGAGGGGTTATTTGGACAGCAGAGATTCACGTTTTCTTTCCAGGTGAGCAGAGCAGGAGGTGCTCTGTGGCCTCCTCTGAGGAGCACAGTGCACAGTCAATGTGTGGCTGCTGCCTGTAGAGGCCACAGCTCCATGCTGAGCTGGCCAAAAGGGTCTCAGGCCTTGCCAGGCCTTGTCTGAACTAGTCCCAGCACACCTGGAGCTTTGCTTTGGCTTGTTCAGCTGGAACAGCCACTACCTAACAACAAATCCTTAAGTGCTTTGGTTTAGTTCTCCTACATCTCTGTGATGTAACACAGAGTTTGGTACATATGTTGCAGCTAATAACCAGAAGTACCAAGTAGTTTTGCTGTGTATAAATGACTCTTTGCCAGTAGAGTAAAACAGGCTGTAGAGGACAAGGGATGGGATGTGTCAAAGCCTTGGGGCTACAAACACCTCAGCAGTGGCCAATAATGAGTGATCAGAGGGGTGGGATTTGGGAGGTAGGGTAAAACCAGCCTGAAACAAAGAGGACAAAACCAATCCTCTGGCAGGGGTAAATCACACCAGGTACAGCAGTTCAGGTGTAACATGTGGTTACAGACCAAGGAAACATGAGTGTGTTAGCAAAGGTGTGAAACCTACTCTGGTCTCCTCAGCCACTGCAGAGTGAGGAGAAAAAAACTCACCTAAAGGTGTGGTGTTTCCCCATGTCACTGGGGAGGGAAACTGTGCCTAACCCATGGTCTGTTTTGACCTGGGAGCTGGTAGAGAGATGCTGTGAACATGTATCCTGGAGGAAACACTGGATGGTGCACTGAGCCAGACAGCTCACTTTCAAAAATGTCCTAAAGACATAAAAATGTTACTTTGGCCCTTGGAATATTTGTTTTTTTGCTTTTTATGTCCTCTGCTTTTCAGACAGGCAGGCCCAGGGAGAGTGGGACATCACTGGGATCCTCCAGCATTCCTGAAACAACCCAAGGCTGTGGCTTGTCTCCTCCTTCTCTCAGTAACTACAACATGCCTCAACCCAGGCAGTTCATTGCAGCACACCTGGCTGCAGGTGTGGGTTGGAGATCAGAAGCTCTTCATAGGAACTGGTCATTTGTTGAGCAGTGTCTCAGCACAGTTTCACCTTTAAGGCCACCTGGGCAGTCCCTCCCTGCACACAGGTGGATGAATGCCTGGGGAACTTCTGCTCAAAGGAAAGAGGTGATGAGTCTGAGCTCTGCCACTAAGGGGTACCAGGGAGAAGGAGCCAAAGTTCCTGCAGGGAGAAGGAGCCAAGGCTGGGAGAGGTCCCAGCCTGCTGGTAGTGAGAGGTTTGGCTGCAGGGAGAGCTCTGCCTGTGCCCTCAGCTCATCACCACCAAAAATGCCAAGGGGCTTGGGCAGGGTGCCAGGCACTGCCTTTCAAGGGGACCCTGGGCTGAGGAGCAAAACCAGAGTCACCAGAAGTAAAAGCCAACAGGAACAGGAGGCTTTGGCTGGCTTGTTTAGAAATCTTCCACCAGAAACTGTTGCTGTGATACAAGTTCTTCTGCCCTTGCAAGGCCTGCAGCTGTGCCAGGGCATGGAGCTGGGACAGCTGGGGCTGCCCTGTGGGGCAATCAAACAGGGAACTGAGAGCAGACAGAGTGGCAAGACAAGGGTTTTAATAATGAAGGTGTTGCTGGTAACATAGGTAAGGAAATGTGCTTGCTTACAGGTTCGAAGCTGACAGCATCCTTTTAAATAAGGAAATACACTTGCTGAGAGGGAGACAGTTACCTGTACAAGGCTGCAGTGGAGCAGCTAACACTACTCTGCTTCAAGTGCACTGACACGGACAATACTTGAGCCATGGATTGGCTGCGAAAAATCTCTCACTTAGAAAAAGAAATTCCTTACAAAAAAAAACCCACAACGCAATCTGTGATCGTCTAACCTAGCAGTGCCTGTGACGTTTGTACAATAGAAAAGTGGTGCTTTAAATAGTGACTCAGAAGCTACTGCCACGTGCTTTATACAGCATGCACCAAGGCCAGGGCCTGGGGACTGCACGGGGCTGCAGAGCTTCCTCCAGCTCCAGCATCCCTGCGGCTGCGTCTCCCTGCGCTGTCCTTCCAGCAACACGAATATTAAATACACTCAGTCTGGAAATAGTTTAACAATCTTTGTCAGCAACAATATTTACTTTGGCAAAACCAGAATTGCAAGGAGCAGACGTGTCCGTCACACATCTGCAGTGAGTTCTTTGGTGGAAGCCAAGAAGTGAAGAAGCAAAGGCTCCTTCTTACTAGAGCCTGAGGGAGAATATTGCACAGAGACTCATAGGAGAAATGCTGGTGATTCCAAACGGGAGCATCACTGCAGGAGAGCTTCCTTCTCTGCTGGCCTCGGGAGAACGGGCTCCTCTGCACTCAGGGATTCACAGCTGTTCTCCGCCAGCCGTGCTCGGGGCTGAGGGAGCAGTGATGCCAGAGGAGACTCAGGAGCAAGGGATGACTGCTGGGATCGAGGAGGGATGGGCAGCAGGATGGAGGGGTGGATAGCAGAGGAGAGGAGGCAGCACAAACCCACGGGCTCACTCGGCCCTGCCCCATGCTGTGTCCCTGTCTGGCTCCCCCTACTCTGGGGTCAGGAAAAGGAGTGGCGATCCATCCTGACCTGGCTGTGCAGGGAATAGCCCCTCCAAAGCCCACCTGGATCTTTCATATCACATGCTCCTACCTTGGACCAAAAGACATCACACTTATCTCTTCTTGTGTACCATGCTAGCAGGGACACAGCAGGTCCATGGGATGCCACATCCCTGCCAAACCTGCACCTGCATCCCCAACATCTGCCTCTAACACCCAGAGCTCTCTGCTCCAAGGTCACAGGCCTGATTTGGTTCAGACTGCAACCAGGATGGCTCCTGGGCTTTCAGCCCCACAGGACATGCCAAGGTGCCACCGTGTGATCGTGGTGGTCTCCATCTCTCGTCCACCCAGAGCAGAGCTGTGCAGGGACTAAGCAATGCAGCTTTGGGGCAGGAGGAGGGAAGCAAGAGCCTGACTGTCCAGAGAAGTGTGCTGGTCACCTGGCTTGGCAGACCCCCGTGCTCTACACCCTCAGCCTGGGCATGGCCAAGTTGAGCCCAGCAGAGCTGCCTGAGGGGCTGGAGAGGAGAGGAGAGGAGAGGAGAGGAGAGGAGAGGAGAAGGCACCAATGAGCTCTCCTCTGTGATTTCCTGTTGCCACCCAGGTGAGGTCACCTCACCACACAGTCTTGTCATGAGCTGCTCCAGTTCTCACAAGAGTGACTGCTAAAACTGGGGGGAAAGATTACAGAAAGAAAAACTGAAGTTCTTGTCCATCAAAGGAAGTGTTGTTTAAGGCACTGGTGTCCTCTGTGGGGATGTGTCAATGGAGGAAAATCAAAGTACCAGAGTTGTTGTGCTGTCAGTTTGCAGTGAGTGGAAATTCACGCAAGTTTATATGCTGGGAAATGACTCCAGTTTCCCCTGGGTGATGCACATTAGCCCTGCGTGTTGCCAGCAGGACAGACAAACTGCACTGCCTGCTGCAGGCTCACAGCATCCTGCCCCAGCACCAACCTTCACCACTGCTGCAGGTGCAGGTCCATGCTGGTGTTCAGGTTGAGGTCGGTGACGTCCAGGAAGTCGATGTTGAAGATGCTGGGGCCCGCGGGGGTCAGGGAGCCGAAGCCGGTGGCAGAGCTGGGGGGGGTGAGGTCCAGCCACTCCATCGTTTCCCACGGAGACTCAGTGAAGCTCATTTGCAAAGCAGAGCCCTCAGCAGGGGAAGGGGAGAGCTGGGTCTCCATGGGCGACAGGGGAGTCTGTAAGATCTCCTGGGAGGTGAGCAGTTCGTCCGCGGCTTTGCCGGAGAAGCTCTCTATCATCCCTTCGAAGTGAGGCTCCTCTGCCCCCATCTTCAGCAGGGCCATTTCACTGACCCTGCCCAGGGGGCTGTGGGCATTCAGCAGCACCTCCAGGTGAGCGTCGCTGCTGCCTGGGCAGTGCTCGAAGGGCAGCGGTGCCGAGGGCACTGGCTCGAAGGGCACTGAGGGCTTTGGGAGAGAGGCACTGGAGGTCCCTGTAGACACTGTTATCTGAGGTACTTTCTGGAGGCAGGACCGATCTTCCTTGGCATTGGCTGGCATTTCTGTCAACAAATGAGAGGGATTTCGTACAATCAGAAATCATCAAGGTTGGAGGAGACCTCTAAGATCATCAAGTCCAACCACTAACCTGTCACTGCTGGAACCCCTAACCCAGATCCTCCAGTGCCACATCCAGACACCTCTGAAACACCTCCAGGGATGGTGACTCCACCACCTCCCTGGGCAATATCCCAGTGCCTGAACACCCTCACAGGGAAAACATTTCCCTACCATCTCCTCTGACTCTGCCCTGGCTCAGCTCAAGGCCATTCCCTCTCTCCTCTCCCTGCAGCCCTGGCAGGACACACATCCCCCACCTCTCTCCAGTCCGGGCGGGGATTTGCAGCGAGCCATGAGGTCACCCCTGAGCCTCTTCTCAGGGCTAAACAAACCCAATTTGAGGTGCTCTGGCAGTGCCCACCAGTGCTGGGCATGGGGCACCACCATAGACCCCAGCTGAACCCTTCGGCATCCCTACACACCCACTCCCTGCTCAATGCCCTTGGCATTGCTCTCCCACCCTCCCTGTGGGAAGCCTCACACGTTCCTGCTTTCTGCCCTCAATCCCCTAGGTTTGGACACAGTCCCTAGAGCACAAGCACTGGCATAGTATGTATCATAATATCACAGTATCTGAAGGGGTTGGAATGGAGCTTAGAGATCACCCAGCCCCAACCCCTGCCTTGGGCAGGGACACCTCCCACCAGAGCAGGTGGCTCAAGGCTTTATCCAGCCTGGCAGCTGTTCCCAAGGGGCTGGGAAAGGGCACAGGCAGCACTTTGCACAGGGGAGGGCACCAGCAGTGCTCTATGTGGGAGATGTCACTGGCAGCACTGGGAATGGGGTGAGGGACATGGGGGGTTCTCTGTGGGGAGGGGCTGGCATTGCTGCTGCCCTGCTGTCTGTCCCTCCTCCCTGCACAGTCTGCACAAGGAGAGCCAAGCCCAGACCACCCCACCCGGTTGGAGAGGCTCCAGGAGGGTCAATATGCTTTGGGATTGAGTCACAGTGGCTGCTGGCACAG